TTGAGAATTTCAGGAGTCCGTGCGCCTGAATGCTTGGTCAACACCGCATAACTTTTGCATTTTTCCCTCACCACATTTTTTTTTCATGTCCCTGGGCGCAGAACCCACAAGGCAATTTTTTAGGATCAAATACAGTGAGCTAAAGGATTGGATGATGATTTCTTTTCATTTAAAATATTAATTTCCTAAATTTTCGACAATGAAAACGATCCCAACCACATTGGGTCCATTTCTTCTCGGTGATCTCAGTAGAAAAGCTGTGTGGTGTATAATGTCTGTTATTGGGGATTCAACAGTAAGAGATCCAGGGGTGGCACAGTCGGGCGGCACTCGCCTCCCTATTTTATTGATGGAAATACATTTTCATTCGTTATAACAATAATTTTTGGGGTTAAAGTTTTGAGCTTTGAAATTCTATATTCCCTAAAATTTCATACTTTTTTCGTTTTTAATGGTTTACCAGAACTGATGCTATGTAGAGATCCGATACATTTTTGTCTCAAAAACAATCCACGAGAGCCTTGCTCTCAGATCTGCTACAGCAAAACTTCTTACGGAGCATGCCTTTGTCGTCAGAAATCGCCCTTGGTGACAGTATGGTGCCTCTCCGACGTAAAAAACAAAGAATGTTTTGACGGTTATACTGATGCATATCGGTAGACAATTGTTCTCCAGGAAATTAGTCAGCAACACTCCTGTTTAATCTTTATGTGGAATTGCTATAGGCCCCATTCCGAAGTGCGGCTCATCAGCCGGGTCTGTGCAAACATGGTCTCTGTCTGCTTCATAGAGACAGCTTTTTTGTAATAACAGTCACCATCGGTATTTCACACCTCCAAATTGGCACCTTTTTCATTAACAGACTTCAGGTAACATGTAATACTGAATCGCAAAGCGTGCATTTCGCGAGAACAGTGCTTCCAATGCCAACATATTAACTCCCCAAAATCTCGTAAAATGTCAGTTGGTTAGAAAAATTCCGTGGAGGCAAGTATACAGCAGAAACTTTTTCCAGTGTGGGTTGGTTTGCTTGTATAGTCTTTTGCAAGACTTGGGGCAACAGTACTGTGCACAAAATGTCTGCCAAGGGCGAGGGTGGTGTTTTGTTTTTTGGAAAGTGAAACTATTTTGTGGTGTAATACTTACCTGCATTACATCCCGGTTGAATAGACCCTTGGATCGCACAGATAGGAGGTGCAAATTGGCGCTGGCCGATCCCGTACTTTCACTGAAAATGGTGATGTTAGTGTCATCGTGTCTGAAAGCTACCAAATGGACAACGAGACAAAGACTTTGAAAAAGACTGAAGTCGACATCAGCGGTCAATACAATTTGACGCACTAAAGGAAGTCGTCAATAACAATTTGATGTGAAGGCAAGAATGATAAACGCAGATGGTGAGGTGAATTAAAAGGTGGATCAGCCAAATTTGGTCAGGATTGGGACAACTGTGTTGTGGTATTGTTAACTCTGACCCTTGATTGTTTCGATCGTCTTGATCGATGTACTTGTTCGATCGATCCACCATGCATGACTCTCATTTTAGCAGTAGAACTAGAAGATGTAGTCGTTTTTGGAGTTGCGCCGAACTCCACTTGAAAGAAGAGATAATATCCTGACATCGGTTAAGTGACGTGTACATGAAAAAATACCATTTTTGGTTACATAAATAAATTCACAAAATAGACTTTTGTTAGGGTAGATTTTTTTTGATAACTTAGTTACTCTAGACGTAACTTTACTCATTAACGGCCTGACTTTAGGTCTATAGCCAAAGTAATATGTCTGTCTGTCCCTGCACGATACCCCACAGAGCAAAATGTAAATAATAAATTATTTGCCATGTTTGATTCCTTAATAGTTTTCATAAAAGACGGACTGACTCGACATTATTTTGGGAGCGGGTATACCTATGATGAAATCTGCCGTATACTCCAAATTAGACATGACTTGAGTTGCAGGTTGGTTCACAGAAGTCTTTTAAACAGTAACGTTACTTGTTAGCCCCATAAGTAATGCTGATGTGCGGGACAACCTGTTCTCATTGGTCTATCCACCATGGTATACACACCCACAAAAACCAACACGTCATATTTTCTGAAACTTAAACCAAGTTGCCCCCTAACAATACATTTAATAAACAGTTTGTTATCCACAGCACGTCTAGTATTTCTGGATTTCAAGATGAAATTGAGAGGACAAAATGGAATATCTGTATCGGTTGGCAGATTTCTTTCTAGAATTGACTGAAAACAAGTCGGCACATTTTTACAGTATGGGAATTAGAATTAGACTGTGAATAAGTTGGCCGGAACATTATTGCTGAAAATGTTTTTCCCCCAAAAAAACACTTGGTTGAATTCTCAGAAAGGCGACATTTTCTTGTCAAGGGGCAGGGGTAGTCTAGCATTATTGGCATTAATTATGGGACTAGTATATGCTTTGCAGGTGGGATTTGTACTTGCCTTATTCGGAAAAGATTTTTAGAAGTGAATGGAATCATCACATTGTCATTTGTTAAACCCCGGCTTTCGCAGGTCCTATGCAACCCATTTGATGGGCGACGCACGACGCACGACGCACGACGCACGACGGGCGACGCACGACGGACGACGCACGACGGGCGACGGAAAATGGCATGTTTGGAACTGGTAAATGGCAGAATTTGGACGCAACAAAAAACAAAAGGCGACGGACGACGGGCGACGGCAGATATGGAATTCCATAATCACACCAGTGTTTGAAGCAAGCAAAATTCTTTCATTAAAATGACTCGTGTTGGGAAGGGATAACAAGAATGGCTTTGTTAAGCTGACAGGAACATGACATTATGAGGGCGACCTTAATCACTGGACAATTTCTAGTTCTTTAGATTACTAATTAATTTTCAAAAGGTAGTTTCATTTAACATACCTGTTGTTAGAAAACCAAACACGTTCAGACGGTAATTGATGGCGACAACGATGACGTCACCCAAACCAATCAATGGCTGTCCGAAGTAGCTTATGCCTGATCCAGACCTGAAACCCCCGCCGTGTATCCAGACCACGACATCAGCGTTCAACATGACGAAGGAATACCAGCAACCTTTGCGAGTAAAGTCCGTAAGTCCAAGCACAGGAGGTTGAGATTTGATATCAGTGGATACTGCAAAACAATATGAACATTTTCATGATTCGCTAGTTTCTCGTATGTTGTATTAGTTCGTATTTTTATTACCATTTTTATTTTCCGATTGACATATATCCAAAGGAAGTGGAAGCACATATCATGAAGAAACCATTTGTGGTCTGAGCCGCGTATTTATACTCACCACATCTGGCGAAGATGCCGGTCGACACATCCGGACGTGTCAACCCGCACAAACGTGCGTTGCCTATAGTAGCCACCGCGTTGCAAACTCTGCGGCGCACTATTAGGAATCGCCCGTATTCAGAGCACAATCTGTTATGTTTATTGTAAATTGCTATGTACAACTCACCAGAAATATATCCAGCAGCAGATGTGACATTAAGTTTTTCTTCTCAGGGCAACATCACAATTGTGCTTGTGTATTCTTAATGGCATAAAAGCCAAAGCGGTAGCAAAAGAAAACAAGTATTGAAAATAAAGGTTCATTGAGACTCAAAGGTGTGCATTTAAAGATTTGTATTTAAAAATACATTTCAGCCCCCGTTCATATTCTTTAGTTGCCAGATCAGAATAAAAAACAATTATTATAAAAACCAAACTTTCTGTAAAGTTTGGTGAAATGTCGGTCGATGTTTGTAAAAAAAAAAAGAACAGTTATTTCCCACTTGAGCAGGAGGAACGTGCTTACTAGACTACGCGTGCGTGTGACGTAAGTCCACTGCTAGGCTCCATGAGCAGGGGTTTTCATGGCATACCCGTGTGGGTGCTTCACTAGGGATGAAATACAAGCTAATCCAACGGTTCTGAACACAAGGATGGATCCAGGGGCGAACAGGGGCCATGCTCCCTACCAAAAAGGAGATGAGAAAAATGCGAGATTGTTTGGTTTATTTCATTTACCTTTCTTCATAAGTCTATAAATGCGTGCAAAAGTCCATAGCCTCATCTTTCAGAAATGCAATGAATGAGGTTGCAAGGAAAACGGGTATGGGCTTCGGAAACCAGTTTACCCATCCCCAAAAAGTATGCTTCAAAACGTCACGTTTCCAAGTCGATGTTTTATAAGTTCTGTTTTAACGACACTGCCATTAAGGGTAAACAAATAAGACCCACCTTATCTTTTGACATATCTTCTGTCGCGGGGGTAACAATCCGGCAATTCCTGGCGATAACAAGATCCTTCCATAACGATAAGGTGAGCTCATTTTCTGAATTGCAACCTATAGAATAGCAGTCATGACCACTATGCATGTAATAATAGTACAGGTGCTCATGGGCCTAACCTCTTTCGTTCCGTTAATGACCGCCCAGCATCAGCCTACTGTATCTGTCAGAGAAGGCGTCCTGGTGGGTACTACTGAGACTTTCCAGGAGTCCCAGTTCATCCACGTGAACAAGACCATCGATGTCTTCAAGGGGGTACCGTTCGCTGAGCCGCCTGTGGGCCAGCTGCGATTCAGGCCTCCAGTGGCTAAGGGGCCGTGGGACGGTACGTACGACGCCACGTACTTCAGAGACGCCTGCGTGCAAGATCCATCGCAAGGAATTGGTGCACAAGTAAGCGAGGACTGTCTGCATCTCAACATCTTCGCACCAAAACCTGCGGTAGTGAGTTTGAACACCTTTTGGTATTTTAACAGTATTGTAGTCTAGTAATTTTCCAAATAGCATGGTCTCAGTCAAATATTGAAATGATAAAGAGGGAACAAAAAATAGAGAACAAGGGCAATGAATGGTAAAGGAACAAAGTAAGCTGTTACAGATGATCTCTTTAGACCATTACAGTGAAACTTTTCTTTTGTAATCTTACCTTTGTGCATTCACCTGACCGTGTTCTCCAGCTTTCTTCCCTCCTCACCAGTACAACTTTTGGTAATCAACTTTGTACTCGAAATTATTGAACTACATCGCTGCATTTTGATTCTTTATTTACTTAGACTAAACTTTTTTATATTTAACTTCAACTCCATTTAGAACGTAAGGCCAAAAGAATAAAGAAAGCTGATAAAGATATAATTGTAAAATCGTGCATGGGGGGGGGGCGTCTGACAATTTGACTTGTAACTTATGCAGTATTTACCCCTTGTTTGTAATTTTTCAAAGGTCCGCCTAAAAGTTGGCCCATTCGCTTCAAATTCAACGAGATTCCAACGCCCCCAAAATACAGACAGGTAGACTTTTAACTGGAATATTTTCCGGCATTCCAAAACAGAACTTTTGTTGTCCAACCTATCTCTTGTCTGCAGCAAGGGGGCGCTGCGGTAATGGTTTGGATACACGGTGGTGGTTTCACAACTGGATCAGGCATTCTTCCAGTCTATGATGGGCAAGCGTTAGTTGCCTTGGGTGACGTCATCGTTGTCACTATCAATTATCGCCTGAACGCTTTTGGCTTTCTAACAACAGGTATGCATTTTGTCCGACACCAAAAACACGTAACGTTTATTGCTACAATTAATGCTAGAATTAAAGCAAAAAGGGTGGTGCAATAAGATTGCAATTTCAACAAGGCCCCTTTAAAAAGTATTACATGTATTAATTAGCGACATGCTTGTTGTTGACGACCATTGTTGACAACCCTACCTACACTCTTATCTAGAAAAAATCTGACGTTTACAAAACTTTAATACCCTATACTAAAGTCCCCACTGCTAAATTGATAGGTCAAGACCATGATACGAACGTGGCCAGTATTTTAGTTTTTTTTTATTTTGTGCAGGCGATGAAGCTTTACCGGGAAATCTTGGACTCATGGATCAAGTGCTTGCATTGAAATGGATTAAGGAGAACATTGGTGGTGAGTCAAAGTGTTTTGAAAGATGCCCAAAATGATTTTTATTTTGATAAACACCCCCCCCCCCCAAAGTAACGCCCAAACACTTCTGCAGAAAGCGAGTTAATTTGTTTCGACAACCAGTAGATCGCGGAAGTATTGCCATATTCCAAATGTTGGAAATTCGTCGACGGTTCGGGAATGGTGTGCGATGGTTTAGGGCAGGGTAACCATTATTTCGAAAAAGACAGCGCTATGTAAGAACGTACAATGTACCGTACGTCTCAGCTTCAACCAGTACTGAAATGGCTTGCATTGAGTTTTAACTTTGAATGTAGGAGTCTTAAATCGATCCTTGTTTGTCTTTTGTCGTTGATTTCACTTCTTTTCTTCTTCATACTGGTACAACGGTGTGTTGTTTTTGGTTTAGTTTGGTTTGGTTTGGTTTGATTTGGTTTGGGTTTGGTTTTGGTCAGTTTGGTTTGGTGGGTTGGTTTGGTTTGGTTTGGGTTGGTTCGGTTTGGTTTGGGTTGGTTTGCTTTGCTCTGCTTTGCTTTGAGTTTGGTTTGGGTTGGTTTGCTTTGCTTTGCTTTGGGCTGGGTTAGGTTGGTTTGGTTTGGGTTTGTTTGGTTTGGTTTGGTTTGGGTTGGGTTTGGTTTGGGTTGGTTTGCTTTGGTTTACTTTGCTTTGGG